CGATCACACAAAAAGTCAATCGCTATCCGATACTGCATTCCGCAGCGTTGTCACCCATCCCGGGGAGCAATTCCAGAGCTACGGCACGGACCGGTCGCTGAGCAGCAGCTCGCCGCTGGTCTCGCGGTCGACGGTGACGTGGTGCACGCGCGCCATGAAAGCCACGCTCTCGGTGGGCTGCAGCCGCGCCGCCAGCCCGCCGTGCCGCGCGCCGCTCAGCAGCGGCCCCAGCACGCTGCGCAGCGGTCCCGGCTGCAGAGCAACCTCTGTTGCTCGAAGAGCACACACGCATCACTGTACTTTTATGTTCTTTTGCATGAGTCACGATAGTCGAAGATCGCGGATAAATCGTAAAAGAGTGCTCACCGGCCTTGTAGCGCGCGTGGGGCTGGAAGCAGCGCGCGGGGATGCGCAGGTGTGCGCGCCGCAGCCGCACGCGGATTCGTCCCGGCCCCTCCGTGCTGTCCAGCTGCCACGCCGCCGGCCAGCCGCTAGGGTTGTGCCACACGCCTAACGAGTAAACGTCGCACAGTATAGAGAGCTGGTGCGGGGTGGTGCGGTGCGGGGTGGTGCGGGGGTGCGGTGAGGCAGACTGACCGCGCTCGTGCGTGTGCGTGTCGATGAGGCGGCGCCAGCGCGCGGCGGCGAGCGCGGCGGCGGCGTGCGCGCGACGCAGGTGCTCCAGGAACTGCTTGCGCTCGCAGTTCTGCGCCTCCACCACGCGCCGCGTCACCGCCATCGCGCTCTCCGTGCACCGCGCCGCCAGACCCTCGCGCGTGAACACCGCTCTTAAACAATTATTTTTGGCTAAAATTATTAACTTTTAAAAATTTGAAAGCTTTTAAATATTTTTTATTATTATTTCAGCTCACTGAACGTCCCCACTGGCTCGGAGACTACCCTAAGTTAGAGGTGATAAGGCCATGGACGCTGGCCCAGTGCGGGTCGGTTGACTTCACGCATATCTTTGATTTTATTCTCAGATAGCAGGTTGCATCACGTTGTTTTTCTTCACCGTAAGAACGACGGATTAATGTACATATGTAAATCGAAATACACATTGGTACATGACGGGATTCGAACCCAGGACCTGCAGATAACTAATCGAGTGCTTAAACCCCTGAGCCATCGACGCCCTAGAATATCGCGCTATATTTTAATTATTATAAATTATAACTATTTTCATCTAACTTCTTCTTAACCGTAAGAAAAAATGACTGTGAAAAAACCTACTTGCCGACGGCGGCGCGCTGGCGCGGCCCGGTGCTGGCCTTAGTCCAGCGCTCCTCGTCCTCGGCGAGGAAGCGCTCCGCCTCCGCGGGCAGCGCGTCGCACGGCATCCGCTCGGGCAGGCCGGCTTGCGTGGCCACCGCCCAGTCGCGCGCCCAGTCCGTGATGGCCAGCTCCACGCCCGCGCCACCCGCGTCGCCTGCGGCGTGGACGTGCTGCAGCATGATCAGCAGGTACGCCGATAGCTGATGCACAAACGCTCGTGAGGCCGACGTCGAGGACAAAAAATGGGAAGCGGTCGCAGAGTCGACTCGGCGAGGTCGTACCTTATGCATGCCCGTGGGATCCTTGGGCGCGAGGTGGGCGAGGGCGGCCCGCGGCGCGCGGTACAGCGCCCGCAGCAGCGCCGGCTGCAGCGCGCGCGCGCCTGCCGCCGGGCTGGCCGCCCACCAGAACAGCTCCTGCAGCTGCGCCGCGCACTCCGCTCCCCACCCCGCCCACCACTTGGCGCGCTGCTCGCCCGACCCGCTCGCTCCTTAAACGAGATCGCTGTTAAATGATCGCGTCGATATCAATGAACACTATTAAGGTAAAGAAGGCGATGCGTCAGCGCTCACCGAGCAGGAGCGTGTCGAGCAGCCGGCGGAAGAGCGGCTCCTCGGCGTGCAGCGCGGCGCGCGGCGAGCGGGCCAGCAGGAAGGCGAGCGCGCGGGCCAGCGTGCCGCTGTAGCGCGCGCACAGTTCGGAGCGCGCGCGTCCGCTCTCCGCGCCGCCCAGCACTGCCCGAACACAACGATATCACTATTGTTCATACAGGTGAACCTGTATGAATATAGAAATTTTTAAAGATGTGACTATGACCGTTGGCAAAATAGTTGGTGTGTTTGTTGTGCGTGGCGTAGCAGTGGTCGAGGTGCGCCTCCAGGTGGTCGAGCTGCGCGGCGAAGAGCGCGGCCTCAGCTGCGCGTGCCAGCCGGCGCACGCCCGCCGCGCCCCTCCCCC